TCTGGTAACTAAAGGCACTGTAACCTTGCTTTTTCTGCTTCTGTAGCTCTGCTCCAGGCTAACTGTTCTTGAAGTATGTCAACCCAGAACATGGTTTTTGTGCTTAAAAGCTCACTCTGGAAAAGGCTCTGTGCTACACAGGGATCCTGAGCATGCAGGATCCAGCTCACTAATAAAGACTTTTTCTTGGCAGAAACCCACGTCTGAGCAGTCTTCTCTGGTGAATAGCCCACAACACATTATTCTTAGCTTTGCATTAGCCTAGGTTGTAAAAGTTGATTACATGAAAAATCCAAGGCAAGTAAGGCTGTTTGTTACACTGTCCTCTTAAAGGAAGGTTAAGCAAACAGACTGTAGGCGAGCAGTTCTAAGTCATGTGGCCTCAAGGTATATTATAAACTCTGGCTGTGAGGTCTAGCAAAAGTTCCGGTCTCTTAGGATGTAGGGGGTCTTTCCATAATATCCCCTCACCCGATGGGAAAGCTTGCTCTCAATGCAGAATCAGTTTCAGGCTTCCCAGTTTCCAGGCTCATAGCTCGAATCTCCTTTAAAAAGTGAAAACTCTCTGCGGCCATTTACTGTGGTCAGCAAGTACACTGTAAGGGGTTTTCGGTCTTCCAGACCCACCAACCAGTTCCTGCCAGGAAGACCACCAGTGAAAGGGCATATGTGTGTTCGCAGTCTGTCAGTATTTTCCTTCGTCTCCCTCTGTCACTCTTCATCCACCCTTCCAGAAAATCAATGAATTCCATAGATATTTTTCGTTTAAGGGGTACATAAAAAAAATCATGCTGTTGTGCTTGTTTGCATTTTCTGTTTACTGAAGTCATGTCATACAGGTTTTTCCCGGTGAAGATGGTCATTTAATATATAGGTGTAGTGATGTGTTTTTATGAAAATCCCTCTTATCTTCAAAGAGAATGAACTCTTTTCAAACCTTGCCACCAGGTTAATATGCCCTGAGATATTTTTTTAAACTATGTACTTAACCTGCTGTCCTACTGTGTACTAAGCTTATTGTATTTAACCTGCCTTTAAACCAACCTTACTATACCTTGATTTCCCATGTAATCAGCTTTTGTAACTTAAATGAAATACATCGATTTAAATCTTAAACTATATAAACTTTAAACTTTTCCCAGAATACTGTGTGTTATCATTTACTGAGAACAGTCAACAGTTTAAATGCTACCTTAACCCAAATATCTCATAAATTTTGAAAGCAGCAAGGGAATATAGTTTCATAACATCTGTATGGTTTTGAGTGATATTCTGAGTCGTTATCAGGAAAGCGACTTTTGGAAAACTCTTAAAGATCTCTTAAAAAGAACCCCTCACTTATCTCACATACCATGATTTTTGTACAGCCCACTAAATAAAGAGGAAAGCCCCTTTGCAAGTCACAGGCACACCACACACACACACACACACACACACACACAGAGGAACAACAGACAGGCACCAAAAACAGATCAGATGCACACAACAAACATCAGATAGTCCAGAAACCATAGACTGCAGGCAGATGGAAGACATAAGGAAACAAGTGAAAAATTCAAATTTGGGCTCATTCTTGGCCAAAGTAACTCAATAGAAAAAAATCTGTGGTTTTATTCCTTAATGCAGCGAGTTACCCCCATTGAGGTTTCAGTAATGCGTTAGCTGACTTGCACTGCTTCTGATTCTGTATAACACAGAATTCCATTATCTCAGTGAAGTAAGCTGATCTGCTCACACCTCCTGGTGAGCTTAACGGGTTATATAGGAAAAATGGAGCAGAAGCCACAGTCTGCACTTCCTTCAGTAGTGTGTAAGGATCCCTAGGCCTTTTCTTTTTCTCCCCAGAGATAGGATTTCTCTGTGTAGCTCTGATTGTCCTGTATTCTTTTTGTAGACCAGGCTGGCCTTGAACTCACAAAGATCTGACTAACTCTGCTTCCTAAAGGTGGGATTAAAGGTGTGTGCCAGTAGATTCCTAGGTTTTTATCCCTACCAATGTTGGGCATTACTCAAATTTACAACTTGCTAATGCACAATGAAGTATCATTTTACGTTTCTTTAGTTACTCTGTGTATTGGGCTCTTCAGTGTATCCATTTTATGTTCATTTATTTAGTCCAGTTCCGCTTTGGAGTTTCTGTCTTTCTCTTACTTCCTGTACAGAAATTCCTTTTATATTCTAGTTACTAGTCCTTTTGTTTGTTTCAATTTGTTGTCTCTGCCATTTTGTCAGCTATAAAAGTTTGTCCATAGTACCTTTCATGAAACATGAATACTAATTTTGATGGGAAAAAAACCTTCATCCCTGCTCGGTGAAATCACTCAGCAGGTAAAGGTATGACATGGAAACCTCTTGTTTCTTTGAAGATTCAGTTTGGTCATGTGATGTTCTGCTGCAAGCTGAGAACAATGATGTTTTGCCCAGGTTGGCTTGTGAGAGGTTAAGTGATGTTTTTGCTGTGGGCTCTCATGTGAGAGGGGTGTGACTTTGGCCAGCTGAGAACATCCTTGTGTGGACTCTGAGGAGAGGAGTTATATAGAGGCTCACACACAGTGAAAGATCTCTTCTCGGACCGACATCGCTGCCCCGATCTTCTGCTTCGCAGAGAGAAATATTCCAGAGAACTTCCCAGGGCAATCCAACTGAGTCTTGAGGTTTTGTTGACTCGTTCCAATCGGAATCCTCTTGCTGCTTGGTGTGTTGGCCTTCGGACTGGACTGCTGGTATCCTGACAACTGAGTGTGGTAATCCCCTAAAGATCCACAGACAGGAAGTAGATAAAAGAAGTCTACAGCTTTTTTTCCCTCCTAATCTCCTATCTAAGTTGGGGGGTGGGGGTGGTGGAAGCGAGGTAAAGGTGTTTAAGGACCCTAAATAAACTGGGTTTGGTGAAAAATCTAAGCCTGAAAAGGTGTTTAACAAGCCCGTCAGCCTGAGTTCAGTCTCTGGGACCACATAGTGGGAGAAAAGACCCAAGTCGGGCAAACTGTCCTTTGATTTCCAAGCATGCCCACATAGTTATCCCCCACGCAGTAAATTAGCAAACATACACGTGATTTAAAATCTTTCATCTATCTCTATTTTACAGTACGGTATGCGCTTTTGACATTTCAGACTGTGCAGCAGGTGGGTTTTTTGTAACTCTGACTCACGTCCCTACTTCCCTGCAGTGGATGTCAGGTGCAGGTTTATGTTTGTGGGGCGGGCCCTTAGAACACGCAGTACACACATAGGAATGCAGGGAGGGAGGTTAGGCAGACGCGCATCCGTGGAGGAAGGTCATAAAGATATATCCCTGTGTGAGAGAGGTTAGAAACACGTGTCTGGTGGAGAGAGGTAAAGAACCTGCAAATACCTGTTAATCTGCTTCACTCTTCATGCCACCCCAGGAGGAACGTGGCTGGGACCATCAGCAGGACCCCTGCTGGTCCTTTCTCACAGGACTGTAAGCAGTAACCTATCACAGATATTTTCCCTGCACGATCTATGTCTGTCGCTGACATAACTTTCCCAGCACTTGTTCATTTTTTTGAGGTACAAAGCTTGAGTGGCCGAGGAGAACAGATGAAGGTGCTGCAAGAATTTAACAAGCAGAATGCACATTTATGGCAGCTGGACAGATACCCATTACAGCATCACAGAGGACGGAAATCCTCACCTTATTTAAAGTTCAAACAAGCTAGAAAGTGGTTTTACAGAGCACAATGACACATACTGGCTATACGACTAATAGTCTCCCCCAAGTCATTTGTTACAAATGATATCGAGAAACACCTTTTGATGATACAGACAACAAATAATCCAGACGCCCCTCCCTCCCAAAATGGATAAGGATCTGAACAGACATTTCCCCCAAAGGTTTCTAAAATGGCAATAAACAGGTAAAGTGATATCCTACATCACTGGTTATCAAGGAAATGAAGTCAAGTCCTGAGGTGCATTTTCTATGCAGTAGGTGAGTGAGGGTTTTAAAGATGGACAGTAAAAGGATGTAGAGAAATCAGAACTCTCAGACCCTAATTATGGGAAGGTAAAATGGTGTCTACAGCTACTGGAAAACAGTCTAGCAGGTCATTAAAAGGTTTAACATTTACTACTCCACCTCAGCTCATGGATATATATTATGTAAGAGCAATAAGAGCATAAGATGATATTAAATATACTCCAATGTGTATACAGTGTTATTCCCCAAAGCAGAAAATGGGAGTAAAATGGATAAAATGTGGAGTGATGTGTACTCACTAGAGAACATGATCAATCAGGACAACAATGTACAATAACATTATGGTAAACCACAGAAGTCACGCCCACACGCACTCACACTTAAACAACAGTCTGATGTTGTTCTACATTATATATTCTATTTTTAGGGCATGTCAGAATTAAGAGAAAATAGATGAGTGGTTATTCAGCCTGGGGAGTGGAGCAAAGGGGGTTTAATAATTTGAGAGGTGACAGCAAAAATTGAGTGAGGTATAAAATGTAAATATTCTAAAATTGTTAGATAGTGGCTACTAATTTCACTGCATATACCAAAAACTTCTTAGCTTTACATATTATATTCATGAATCACATTAGCAAAAATAGCAGAAGAAAAAAAAAGAAAAAAATTAACCAAACCCTCGGTACTCATTTTCTCAGCCTTATTTTAACCACCTGTGTGCCCTTAAGAGCCCTTCACTTCCTACTTTGTCTTCTCAGATTGCCAAAGCTGGCATCCCTAGAATTGTACCATTTACTAAATTTGTTACATACTTTAAAACTTTGAACAATTACGTACTGAGTTTGTTAAAAAAAAAAAAAAAAGCTGAAATGTCGACGCTAGCATTTGAATATTGGGTGTGGAAATGCTGAATCTTTAGCTCTCAATGTTGTGAGATAAGTTTTCACAATTAACAACATCCATAGTGGTTTAGGGCTTGGGAGGGGAGAGAGAGGAGGAGGGGGAGGAGGAGGAGGAGGAGGAGGAGGAGGAGGAGGAGGAGGAGGAGGCTGTTTCACAAGCAAGCACCCTTGGCTTCAGGATACAGAGTTCAAGTTCTAGATACTCTCATCCTTTTTAATTTCTCTCTCTCCCTCCGTGTCTCTCTCTCTCTCTCTCTCTCTCTCTCTCTCTCTCTCTCCCCCCCCTCTCAGTTTCACTCCGTAGCTCAAGCTGTCCTGCAATTCACTACATGACCCAGGCTGGACTTGAAGTCACAGCAATGGCTGCAGGGTGACTTCCTGGATCCTCCATGCTTCCAGGTCCTAGTGAGGACGGGTGGTCCCCGCAGGACACATGGGCCTATCAGCTGGCCTCCCTGTGCTGCTGCTGCTGCCGCTGCTGCGGTCCGTGGTCCCTCAGGCCCAGTCTCCGCGTGAGTGCGGGAAGGAAAAGTGGGGTGGGCTGGAGGAATGCAAAACCGAAAGCGGCGTTCTTGGCGCCCCGAGTTTGTCACTTCGGAATGCAAACGCTGCCCTCTGCGGCCCGTCTTCCAGCTCTCGGCTTGCAGACCCCAGGAGGGGACACCAGCCACAGGGCTGGCTACCCGGGGCGCTCTCCCCGTCTGCTCTGTCAGGGTATCTCTCACCAGACTGAGCAGCGGTGCGGTGTGAGAAGCGAGGTTGGGTTAGCTGTGTCTCGTGTCTCCGTCTCCTACCGCTGTTTCGTTGTTTTTTGTTGTGGGCTGTTCTACCCCAGCTCCCCACCCCACCTGGGATCTGAAATTTCTCACCAAGAGTGACCAAAGTCGCCCCTGTTGCGTGTTCTATTCCGGGTGCTGGGGAAGGCTCTCGGATGTTTCCCGTTAGCTCTGGGGGTGCCCATTCGCACCCCGCAATCTTACTTTTTTTTGTGAGATGAGGTGAAGGTCACTTGGAGAGGGAGGCTAGGACCTTTCCTCACTCTTGGCAATTGTTCTTTTCATCTAGAAACGTCATTCCCCCCCCCCCCCATGGATGTAATAGTGTAACCAAAGATTATATGGCAGAAGGCAGCCCTTGCGGTTGGTAACAATGTTCCAATTTAAGAAATCCAGTAATGAGGAAACAGCTATTCAGTGTGGCCATAGTGAGAAGGTCAAGCAGCCCAGGGAATGAGTTCATCTTCAGAGTCCTGCCATGACATTTAAGTTTAAACAGAAAGCAAAGGATTCCCTTGGATAGACAGTCCTGGATCCTGCAATGGAGTCCATAAGTTGTCCGCCTCTTCCTTGTTAGTGCACTATGTAACAATTTCTTTTGCCCCAATGTGCTGCTTTGCCCTCATAGATAATTGCTCTGGTGAGAGAGAGAGAGAGAGAGAGAGAGAGAGAGAGAGAGAGAGAGAGAGTTGGGGACAGAGAGGATTCCTGACTTGAGGCTTTGATATTCCTCTAATCCAAGGGGTTGGGAAAATGATACCTTTGTGCCTTCAGCCTTGGACAGGTTACGGGAGAGCCCTGCAGGAGTCTGATGAGACACAGAAGGCAGGCTTCCCACACTTTCACTCACTGTGGGTGAGACTTCGGTGCCCTTTGACATAGTCCCCCCACACCCCCATTCTGAGCACCTGCCTGTAGATTAGTAGTTCTCAATTTTCTAACGCTGAGACATTTTATTCAGCTCCTCACAATGCCACACCCCCTCAACCATTAAAATATTCTTGCTGCTACTTCATAACTGTAATTATGCTACTGTTTATGCATCACGATGTGAATATTTGATATGCAGGCTATCTGAGATGTTGGCCCCTGTAAATGGGGCCCCCTTTGTGCCCGGAAGGATAGACCACTGCTCTACAGGAATTTGTTCAGCTGGGCTTTGCTGACTTGCAAATTAACAAAGGATTAACAGGCCTTTTCTAAAGGATGCCAAAGTCCTGCTTAATACATTTTAATAACACTGGGATCTGTGATCCTTTTTGACTAGTTATGCACTGGAAAGCAGTTAACCAGCTTAAATCTCTTCTCAGGTTGCAAGAACATAAACTTACTGATTTTTTCCCCCAAGAACCCCTCCCGGGGGGGGGGGGTGTAGTTCAGGCTGGCCTAGAACTCACAGATGCTTATCAGGATAGACTCAAAACTGAGACAATCCTCCTGGCTCAAGTCTCTGGAGTATTAGGATTGGAATCGTGAGCCACCACTCCAGGCCAACAAGGATTTGCGAAGCACTGACCCTATGCCAGGTGCCATTCTAATCACCAAGGTTGTACCCCTGAGCAGCCTTGTTCTGGGATTGAGGGAAACTGATGGGAAAATCCTATGCTGAGTGTCCTTGTCAATTCCCTTTCCTGGAAACCTTTCTGTCTGCTGACAGGTTGTCCTGAGTTTTGTGTCCGCACGCTCACCAGCATTTTTCAGCCAACACTGGCATGTGAAACTGTTCAGAAATGGAAGCAGAGAAAATCTACTACCTCCAGCTCCTTAGGGCTTTCATTCTAACAGGTTGAGCAACAACTCTTAGCTCAGACCAGACTGTTGGAGAAACCCAAGGACTTCCCAGAGTCTGGGTCCCAGGGTAACCCATAGCCTCAAATAAGGAGCATCAAAAAGGCGGGCAGAGTAAGAGCAAAAGACCAGAGCAGCCAGGGCTGAGGCGGGAAGACCGGAACTCTGTCTGTCCACAAGCAGGACTCGCTCTCTGATATCGGGAGCTGACCCAGGGCTTCGGAAACTCTGCCTCCTACTTCTGCTTGCTGCCCATTCTAAATGCTTGCCGACTTCCCCAGGATCCCATTCTCTGCACTACCTCTTCATGGGTGCCTCGGAGTCAGACCTGGGGCTGCCTTTGTTTGAGGCTATGGGCTACGTGGATGAGCAGCTCTTTGTATCCTACAATCACGAGAGTCGCCGTGCTGAGCCCCGGGCCCCATGGCTCTTGAGTCAGACCTTGAGCCAGCTGTGGCTGCAGCTGAGTCAGAGCCTGAAAGTGTGGGATCAAATGTTCATCGTAGACTTCCGGACCATCATGGACAACTATAACCACAGTAAGGGTAGGTGGGGAGGGGAGTCGCCTCCCTGAGGAGGTCAGAGCATGGCACTGTTTTGTTACCTTGGGGTGGAGGGCTTCAAGTGTGAGATTAGGGAGAGGGCAGGGAGTAGGAGAGGAGACAAAGAAGTAGGAGGTCGTTGTGTACCCCAGATCATTTGATACTTGGGGATGGTGAAGACAAAACCCACTTCTTCATTTTTCAGTCACAAAGCCGGGGGTGTTGCCCAAGTCCCACATCCTGCAGGTGATTCTGGGCTGTGAGGTGCATGAAGACAACAAAACCAGTGGCTTCTGGAAGTATGGGTATGACGGGCAAGACCACCTTGAATTCTGCCCCAAGACACTGGACTGGAGAGCAGCAGAGCCAGGCGCCTGGGCCACCAAGGCAGAGTGGGACATGCACAAGGTCCGCACCAGGCGGAACCAGGACTACCTGGAGAGGGACTGCCCTGAGCAGCTGAAACAGGTCCTGGAGCTAGGGAGAGGGCTTCTGGGGCAGCAAGGTATGACGGCCCACACTCAGTCTACACAGGATGGCGCGGGAGTGGGGGGAATCCCAGGTCAAGGGTCAAGGTTTCAGACACTCCCAAGTTTGGTGAAAATTCTTTCTCAATACTAAAATTTACATTTTCATCTTTTTATTTTTTATTTTTTATTTTTTTTTTTGAGATCTCACTCTGTAGCTCAGACTGACTAACTCAATATGTACCCCAGCCTAGACTCAAACTTCCAGAAATCCCCCTGCCTCAGCTTTCCATGTTCTAGGATCACAGTCATAAACTACCACATCTGGCATCTGGCTAATGTCATTATGGTTTTGTTCTTATTGTTGTTGTCTTTGGCCTTTAGATAGTCTCCCACACTGTAGCCAAGGCTAGCCTAGATCTCACTGTGTAGTCCAGACTACCCACAAACAGAAATTTTACTGCCTCGGCTTTCCAAATCCTGGGTTTGGAAGTGTGAACCACTATTTGAGATGGATTTTCCCCACCTCATATTGAGGTGTGTAGCATACCTATGAACTACAGAGTTAGTCTCTCTAAGCGTGCGGCCTAAAAGAAAACATTATTGCTCTCCTTCTGTTTTAGCCAGGAATCTCATGCATGTTTATTATGCCTTTTAAGCACAGAGACATGTCAGTGGTCAGGTGAAAATCCCAAGTAAGAATCCATCTGAGTAGCAGAATCCCTGAGAAATTAAAGATTTCTGTTGCAAACTACAGCAAGTCTCACAGTTGGCTCCCAGTTTACCCAGTCCCTTTCCTACAAGAATTCTTATTAGGCAGAACCAGACAAACTGAGAGTCCAAGTCACACATGTGCCACAGACAGGAAAATGTCATCTACTTAGTCAGAGACCCTGGCAACAGATGTTAAACAGGAGAGCACACTGAAGTGCCTGCTTTCCATGTGGTACATCCATTAGTGTCCAACCTTGAAGCCATTTTCAGGATACCAAATGGCATTGCCTGCAGCTGCGTTTTCTGAGGAGGGAGTGCTCTTCTTCCTATCTGTAAAGGAAAGTGAAAATTCAAGTCCTCCTTCCCAGGGTGAAAATGCCTGCCTTATGTCCTTCCTCCTTCCTTTTTAAGTGCCTCCTTTGGTGACCGTGACCCATCACTGGGCCTCTTCAGGGACCTCTCTAAGGTGTCAGGCTCTGAACTTCTTCCCCCAGAACATCACTATGAGGTGGTTGAAGGACAATCAGCCACTGGATGCCAAGGACATCAGCCCTCGGGATGTGCTACCTAATGGGGATGGTACCTATCAGGCCCGGATGACCTTGGCTGTGACCCCTGGAGATGAGATGAGGTTCACCTGTCAGGTGGAGCACCCAGGCCTGGATGAGCCCATCACCGCTACCTGGGGTGAGGCATGCAGGGCAGGGAGCATCTGTTGTAGGGGCCCTGGGAGAAAGGGCTGCTCTGGGCCAGGATGTGGCAGTCATGGAACTGAATTTGTCTTTGCTGTTTTAGATTCCTCGCCATCTGGGGCCATGATTGCCGGAGTCACCGGTGGGACCACCGTTTGTGTCATCTTCTTTGTCGGAATTCTGCTCCTAATCTTAAGGAAAAGGAAGGCTTGGGGTGAGTGGGAGCACGGAGGAAGTGTCATGTGCGTCTTCCTCCAGGACACACTATTCCTTCAGAAAATGAGACTCCTTCAGGAAGCTCTCTCTGTGCCCTTTCTTTTGAGAGCACCAGAACATCTCTGGGGAGGTTTTGTTTTTCCCAGACGGAAGGTTCCTAATTCTGGAAATGCCTTCTAAGCCCCTACTATTCTGCAGGTGTCATTTAAGGTGGTGGTGGTGGGGGGGGGATTGAAGTCAAGAAAGACACTGGGTGAGTCTCAGAACCCAAAGTTAGAATAGAACTTTTGATAAGTTCAGCTAAGGAAGACCCCTGAGGATGAAATTATCTGGGATGTCACTGGCAGCAATGTTCACGTTACATCCAGAAAGGCTATGGAAACTAGGTGTGGTGGTTTGTGACCCTAATCTCAGCAAAAGAATTGCCGTGGCTGAAGGCCAGCATGGAATAGTTATATTGTGAGACCCTCTCTTAGAAAACACACACACACACACACACACACACACACACACACACACACACCGCCCCACAGGCGGAACAACAATGTTTAGTGGGAGAGTGTATCATTGGACCTTTCCCCTGACTTTGTGTGTACCTCACTCACAAATCATTCTTTTTCTCCCCTCTGGGCGAGTTAGGTGAGTTAGGTGACCGGGAAACTAGTTAGCCAGCTATTGAACAACTCCATATGGAGGCCAACCGTTTCTGAAATCCTGTGGAGTCCCGGAACAAGTATGGTCAGGGAAGAAGGAGGTGGGAAGGGACAGGGCAAGATGGTGCCTATCCAGTGAAGCCTGCCCCTCGGTCTCTTGTCTTCCCAGGAGAAGCCATGGATGACTATGCTTTAATGGAGTGTGAGTGACCTCTGCAGACCCACGGGAGACACAGACTCAGCCAAAGACTTGGAAGGGGCACGCTTGCTCCGTTCTAAGACAGAGTTGGCCCTAGAACACAGAAACTGCCTGAGGAACTCTCCTTTTCCCCGTTCCCTGTTCACTCCCTTAAGATGTTCTGTCTGCCCCAGATGCAGCCTCTCCTTCCAGAACTGGTCTCAGGAATCTCGAAAGATTCTCTAAGATGCTTCTCAGAACCATCCTTCACTTCCTCCATCCATCTGGACTCCATACGTCTACTAATAAAAAGCTTTCCTAAATCTGGGGGTTACATGACTCATTTTCACATCTGAAAAGCTATCAACCTCCACCCTGGGCTGCATACACATAACTGCGCCAGAATTTTGCACACCTATCGTAGAATCCAGGACCAACTCGACAGTCCTTTGAGCCTCTCCATCTGTTATCTAATGACCCCTCTGTCACCAAGCCCTAACTCTTCTGCCATTGGGGTGTTATGTACTTCATCAGTACAGCTGTGAAGACTACATTCTGTACAACCTGAGAGGGCAGCCTCTGAGAAAAAACATAGGCTGTCTGTGATGTAACTGTGGCTACGTGTTCCTATTTGCACAAAGGCGTTGTGAGGTTTTCAAAGATGAATATCATATGTATTTGTGACATGATGCCTGCGAAGCACCCTCTGTCCTTCGTATGTTATAATAGAAATGATTATAATAATGAAGTGTAGCTTGCACTTGCTCTGAAGAAGTGTTCTGATCACATGGTAAACCAAAGACCGTGCGTGGAAGTCCTAATGAGTCTATGAAGTGGAGATTTTTATCTGCACCACTGCCCCCTTTTCTTTAGATAAAAAAAATGATGACGAATAGCTCACAAGAGATACAGAAAGACAGCCATAAAAGTGTCATTCTCAGGCAGGCGGGTCTCTGTGAATTCAAGGACAGCCTGGTATACAGAGAGAGTTTTACCCAAGGCTAGAACAGAGAGACCCTGTCTCAGAAAAAAGAGAGAGAGAGAGAGAGAGAAAAGAAAAAGCTGTTCCAGCTCTTTGATGCACCCTATGTACCGCCTGACTGTATGAAGTGAGTGGGGAAAGGAGAAGATGGCTCTTTCCTTGTCTCCTGGGCTTTCTCTTCAGTGAGTTTGACCCACTTGATGGGCAATAGTTGCCTGCATTCTCCAATCCTCAGCTACCATGCATCCTCTCAAAGTTAGAGGGAGAGGGCAGAACTGGGTAGTGACTCCTCTCTCCCCTTGTGTTTCCTTTGTTTTTTGTTTTTTGTTTTTTTTTTTTTTTTTTTTAGCTCAGTTAAAAATCTTAACTGATTTGTCTGTTGTCTGCCTCTGGAGTCAGAACCTTAAAGCTACTGCTCTGGCAGCCAATAATCTGGCAATCGGTCTCATTTTAAGGAATTAAATTGGAAGCTGGCCTGTGGGCGTGGTGAATGCCTGGAGTTGATGGTGTCCTGATGCTCATTCCCAGTTGTATACATTACAAAAAACGAACAAAAAAAAAAAAAAATGCAATCTAACTAGACAACTTACAAACTACTAGATTACAGAAAAGAGGTTCATCTGATGTTGAAAAGCCAAGCCTGTGTTTATATCATGTCTGGTAGGCATACACATTCGTCTGCCTGTGTATGTGTGGTCATATATGTGTACATGTGTATGTGCATGTGTGGGGGCTCATGTCTACATCCAGATGGCATGTGTTCCCTTCCCCCAGTGCACACATTTGCCTGCATGACTCTGGTATAAATTCTACCTTGAAAACCAAGTGCCTCACACCAATGGCTCCAGATTCTTTAATGAGCACTGAATGTGAGCTGAGACCTCAACTTTTCTTTTCTTCCCTTCTTCCCTCCCTCCCTCCCTCCCTCCCTCCCTTCCTTCCTTCCTTCCTTCCTTCCTTCCTTCCTTCCTTTCTTCTTTCTTTCTTTTTTTGACCTTTGTATTATTTTCTGTTTGTGAAAATAGGTACTGAAGAAAAAAATAGCAAAATTTGAACTCATTGCTGAAAATATATAAACTTGGTCGGGCGTGGGGGTGCACACCTTTAATCCCAGAACTCCAGAAGCAGAGGAAGGTGGATCTCTGTGCGTTCAAGTCTGGCCTGGTCTACAAAGATTCCAGGACAGCCAGGGCTACACAGAGAAACCATGTCTTGGAAAAACAGAAATGAAACAAAGATAAGTTTAGAGCCATCATTTGCTCGTTGGGTAACAAACTCTGCTAGCAGCATATACATCGCCTCAGGATCATTCCCGTCAACATGTGTGAAGCTAACAAACACACAGATTAGTAAATGTGCCCTTATCTCTTATACTCCACAGATTTGTTGATATTCTTGTCCAGTTTATGAATGTAGTTCACTCATACCATTTTATAGAAAATTATAGCACTCCAAATTTCGTCGTTTTTTGTTTTGTTTTAAGGTGGATACCATACAACCCAGGATAAGCCTCAAACTCACAACGGAGCTCAGGCTTGCCTTAAGCTTCACCTCCTGAGTTTGAGATTACAGATTTGTGCTTCATTCTTTGTGTCTTACAGAATTCTTTCGCCACACGGGTGATAGCTGGTTTGACAGTTTTCCTTTGCTGTAAGGACGTCATCCTCTGAGCTGTATGCGAGTGTTTATCTACAAGCCAAGCTGAAAGCACACTGTGGTTCATTCTCCCCAAATACACCCTGTACGTAGCGGAATGCCACAGGGTTTCCTCTGCCTCCTAAGGAAATGTTACAGTTAAATAAATAATGGTATAACAAATAGGCTGCAAAATTATACATTTGCACTTTGGTGTGTTTCTCGTTATCCCTTCTAACTCTTCCATAAGATTTTAAAAGCTACATTTGACAGAATTAAACCTCCCATCTTTCCTCTCCTCTGGTTAAGGGTTAACGTAACATGGTGGTTAGGCGAAGGGTGACACCTGGTGGCTCACTCCAAAATGTCACATTTGGCTTCACAGAGGTTAAGTGTTGAGTACAGGTAGGTCGGAAGGGGCGGTTCCTGTGCAGAAAAGCACCAGGTGTGTTAGGCACACCTGAAATGCCAGCCCTTGAGCGGTGGAGGCGATAGGGCAAGGTCGGCTCATGCTCAGCTACACAGTGAGTTGGAGGCCAGCCTAGGCAACATGAGACTTTCCTACAAGAACAAAATAACAAGGTGTGTGTGTGTGTGTGTGTGTGTGTATAAAATATTTTTAAAGAGAAAGTATATGAAAGTTATAGAAAACAGAATCCTGTGCTAGATACTGGACAGGCAGTTATTCCAGGCCAAGGATGTGTTCTCCCTCAGGCCAACAGAACAGAGGGCAAACACCCAACCCAATGCTCTCTGGGGCTCCTTCAGCAGGGACTCATGCCTGCTGGGAGGTCCACACTGGAAGCCTTTCGTAAGTTGTGCACTGAGAAAAGAGAGGTAGCCCTCTGCTGTCTCGTGCAGCGCACCCTGGACGCGTCTTTCCAAAGCAACATGCTGCAGGTGCAGTGCCAAATTTTCTCATAATGTTACTTTTAAGCCGATATCTTTTAAAAATATGTCAATTTAAAAACAGCTGTCAAGCCAGCCAGAACAGCCTTAAGCATGAAAGGTGTGTGAGCTGACTGACTGACAGACACCTGAAATTTCAAACCTCTCGGAACATTTTGGAGTATAATTTGTGTTTTAGTGACCAATCCCTACTCTTTCACATACAAAACATTAATGCAATGCTTCAGTATTTGAGGTGCCTTTCCTTTTTTTTTTTTTTTTTTTTAAGACAGCAGGAGTACTTTTAATTATGGATTCATTACAATACTACTGGACATCACGTGGCTGTGCTCTGACCAGCATATATTCTGATGGCTCAGGCCTGCGTTTCTTATTAACTGTCCAAGGTAGAGGAAGAAAATGTGCTGTTTTGAGGGAATGCCCCTCTGCTCCCCTCCCTATTTGCCTGAATAAGTATTTGCAGTCCCAGTCACATCTTTTGCAGAGTGAAAGTTTTCTAAAAACAATTAGTTTTCTTTAGTAAGAACCAAACCCAAAGTTTCATGCATGCCAAGCAAATACTCTAGAACTCCTCCAACTCTTTGTAAAATTAACATTTTAGGTAATTTTACTTAAATATTTACTAGATGCTAGACTGTTCTCAAGGTTAATTCCTCCAAAGAGTTCTATGAGGAACAATTTTTTTTTTTTTTTTTTTTTTTGGTCATCATTAGCTTTTATTCCACCGTTATGCAAATCAGTGAGATCAGTTAGTCAATTTGCTGTTTGAGACTGCTAGTTAATAGCTAGAAAATGGAGAGAAAAATTACAGCTAAAATATGCCATAATTTTAAGTCAGTGCATAACCACTACAATACTTATCTCCCGGCCAAGGAAGCCTATGGAGAAACACTGTTGCCATTTCTTGCCAAACTATGAAAGGAGACGCCACTGTCACATGGTAGCAGACCCGATGTCTTCTCCTTCAGTGAGGAGCAAATATGCTTAACACTTCAACATCAGCCAAAGCCCTAGAAATTTATCAAAATATTTTGAAACTTCTTTCGTATTTGCTCTTTTTAGTTCATACTTAGCTGGTCCTCCTGGTGTAAGACGGTTTTTGTTTGTTTCTCTGTTGTTTTGTTTGGTGAGAGTGGGTAATAAAAGACAGGAATTAAAAGTCTTTGATTTGGTCAGAAGGCTTTATTTTAAAGATGTTACTAAGCATAATATTTAATTTTATGCTGTTTTATTTTCTCTGTGTGTTGTATCTGCACTCATGGCACCCATGGAAATCAGAAAAAAAAAAAAGTGTCAAATTCCTGGAACCAGAGTTATGGGTGGTTGTGAGTTACCATGTGGCTGCTGGGAACCAAACCTGGGACCTCTGGGAGATTACCAAATGCTGTTAACTTCTAAGCCATCTCTCCTCACTGCTAAATTAAAAATAAAACTTGGAAGTCTAAAACCAGCAATAAACCCACACTGAAACCTAATGGTGCTTGTTCTTCTGCCTGCTTTAAAAAATGAGACTGACAACATTAATCTTATCACAGGCCTCACCAGGACATTGTAGGATTTGCAATGACCTTAATCAAGTATTAGCCCTGCTCTGTAATTCCCAGCCCTACAAAACATGTCTTCTCAAACGCTGGTCAAGCCATGCTGTGATTAATAAAGGCTGGAAGAGAAACAAACTTGGGACCACAAGCAGATCAGCATACACCAGGTAGAGACAACTGATAACCTAAGTCCATCCTTTTGTACAGACTTTCTCACAGTCTTTATAAAAATAAGTAAATAAATAATAAGGGAGGTGGAGTCACCAGGTTTCTAATTCTAGATATAGAATATGAAGTGTGCAGTTAGGGAGCTCAATCTGTCGCTGATGCTTTTTTCAATGTTTTTGTCTTCCCAAACAAAGCTGCCAAAAACAGGCTTAAAATTTACGGCCAAGGGATACCCTTGGCCTATTTAACGCACCCTGTTTTGGACATCTTACCTGAGTCCTCACAAATTCAATAACAAGACAGAAATAAAAACAAACCCGAAAGGGGGATAGCTACTTTGCGTAATGGGCCCAACATCAAAAAAAAAAAAAAAAAAAAAGGAAAGAAAAAGAGGGAGGGAGGGAGGGAAAAGGAAAAAAGGGGGGAAGGAAAAAAAAAAAAAAAAAAAAAAAGGAAAGAAAGAGAGGGAGGGAGGGAGGGAAAGGGAAAGAAGGAGGGAGGGAGGAAAAGAGAGAGAAAAAAGAAAGAGAGAAAGAAGGAAGGAAGAAGGAAGGAAGGAAGGAAAAAACAAAACAAAGATGAAGTTTTCTTCAGAATTGAAATCTTTACTTGAGACAATGCACAAAAGAATAGCTGGTGTTTCCTGACCAATAAAAACCTTCAGATTGTAATGACGCAATCTGTTTGCTCCACCCCCTGTCAAGGACCTGAGTCGAAAACCCCGCCTAACGCCTGTGGTTTTCAATCAGGTCCGCAGAAGGTCTATTTAAAGGGAGGCTTAGGGCGTCCCGTTCCAAGCCAAACGCAGTCATGTCTGGCCGCGGCAAGGGCGGGAAGGGCCTGGGCAAAGGCGGCGCCAAGCGCCACCGCAAGGTGCTGCGCGACAACATCCAGGGCATCACCAAGCCCGCCATCCGCCGCCTGGCCCGGCGCGGAGGCGTGAAGCGCATCTCCGGCCTCATCTACGAGGAGACCCGCGGGGTGCTGAAGGTGTTCCTGGAGAACGTGATCCGCGACGCCGTCACCTACACGGAGCACGCCAAGCGCAAGACGGTCACCGCCATGGACGTGGTCTACGCGCTCAAGCGCCAGGGCCGCACGCTCTACGGCTTCGGCGGCTAAAGCCTTTGTCCGCGCTTTTCCATTGTTTCAAAAGGTCCTTTTCAGGGCCACCCACGTATGCACGAAAAGAGTTGTCCACGATTTAGTTTTAAGTGCTTAGTAGTTAACGTAGCTTGTTGAACGTTTTACGCTATAGTTCGGTGGTAGAATCACAACTTACTTTCTATATAATATACCACGCAGCAGTATTATAAAAATGCAGGGTTTTAGAGGAGGTTGCGTCTGACAGAAACGAGGAGGAGCTGGGGAGGCTGGCGGTGTGGGCAGGTGGTCACAGCAGAGGTTGCTAGGACCCGTGTTTGGGTCTGGTAGGACCGCGTGTGTGCCATCGCCCTCAAGTCCTGAACTGTGCGATTTGTGTGTGAAGTCTGTGAATGCTGGGCGCACGGCTTTAGAATGCTGGGCGCCTTAAAGTCCTTGCCTGCCGTCTGTTGAGTGAAGCCAGTTCCCCGCTGTCACCGTGTGAAGACGTTAAGGCAGCCCATTTCAAGGTGCTGACCATGTAAGAGCTCGCTGCCTTGCCAGGTAAGCTCGCATAATCTCGAGCTATTTTCAAACTTCCAAGCACTGGAAGACGCGGCCCGTGGTATACAAGCAAGGCAAGGGGGGCTGGTGCTACACAAATTGAAAACATGTTTAGCTGGCACTCATGGTGTACAACTCATAAGGCCTAAGTGCACAATTATTCTGTATTAGACGACCTGCTGGCAGCGTGTGGAACGTGAACCGGCATAATTGTGCAATGGCTATTATTTGAAGTTCCTCTCGCCATGTTGGTGCATGTTGCCAGAAGAGGGCGGAGTATTTCCAGGAACCTGGAGTTGGAACAGTTGTGAGGCACTTGAGGGTTGTGATATCCAAACCGGTCTTCAAGAACAGCAAGTGTTCTTGACTCTCTCAAGCCTGCTCTGGTCTTTTGTCACTTCTCAAACCAAGGCCTAATAATAGATGAATGTGAATTCACTGTTTGTGGCAAACTTTAATGCATAAAACTGCTACCTCAGGAGTTAAGGGAAAAGTTGTTTTTTGTTTTGTTTTGTTTTGTTTTTTTTCAGTTTTTCAGCCCCGACTTACCCAGTTACTGTTTCCGTTATGCTGGGGCATTAAATCCAAGCCCTAATAGCGTCTTCACAGAAGAATGGGGTTGTTAGTTTTTAAATCTTCTCTTCTCGGTTTCATGAGCCTACGTGTTATTTTTATAAGATTTACAAAACATTTCAGCTGTTTTATTAATAGTATTAAATTACTTTATAAAGTGGAACAAAAAAAGGATCTTCCAAGATTTTTGAAACTCCTCTCTGTGTTTTTCAATCTGTCACTCAGGAACTCCTAAACATTCAACTCAAGAAAAGTGGATATAACCTCTCGCTTACGTCCTGAACGTCTGGATTCATCGTGGTGCTTCGAAAGCACAGACACCGCTTAATGACATTTTACAGGGCAAATTTAAGAACAGTATTTGGTCAGAAGTGGCTGCTACTACTGAGCTCAACAATTACCTCCTTCTTTGGTATGGTGGTGTCTCCAGAATGAAAGACATTCATTGTGTGCTTCAACGGTAACCTTTTGGTGTAAAAGCACTAATAAACAACCAAATTTGGAGGCCACGCCTAGGGACCTCAGAATGTTGGGGTTTTGAAGACAGGTTGACCTGAAGTGACTGCCCGCCTCTACCTTTCCTTCAGAGTGTTTTTGCCACTTAATAATTATGTTAAACGGCTCTTAAAAAGAGCTTTTGGGTTTTCTTGAAAACTGGCTTTGAAACTCACTTCCTCGCTGCTGCCTTCCTCAGCTCGGTCTTCTGGAAGACCATCTTTGCCTTCCCAGCGTTGGGTTGGCTGCCCTCGCCTTAGCAGGACTTTTCCGCTGCTGCTCCCGGATGCTTCTCTGGGCGTGGCCTTTGGCTTCTTGACACCCTCGGTCTTACTGCTCCTAAGGGATCTCGAGGCCCTAGACAAACCCAGCTTCTTAGCCTTGGCAGAAGCAGCGGTCTTGGCCTTGCCCTTCTCAGGAGCCGTCTTCCTGCTTAGCTTGAAGGAGCCTGAGGTGCTGGTGCCCTGGTCTCCACTAGGAACCCCTTATCACAGGCCTCTTTGAGAGCCAGCTTGATGCGGCTGTTCTTCTCTACGTCATAAACAGCGCAGCCAGGGCTTTCTTGAGGGCAGGAAGGGTCAGTCCAGCCTGTTCCTGAGACACCGAAAGGGCCTCAGGAATCAGCCTGGGAGCAGCGCCCAGGCCACGCTTCTTCCCTCGCCTTTTAGGTGGAGGTTTCTCCAAAGAACCCGGAACGAGGCTGCCAGAGGCTGCTGGAGCCATTTCCAACATGGCCACGGAGTGGTCAAGAAATACAGGCAAGGAGCAAAGTACAAAGAGCACCAACAGAGCAGGTGGGGGCGTGGTCACGGGGGCCTTATGTAGAGCAGGGCGAGCTGTGATTGGTGCGTCTCCAGGCACCGCCCCCGGAGGAGGGGCGTTTGTGTTTCTCTTCCCCACAAAAAGTAGACTCTTACCTATGTGCTCACTGCAGAATCGCTCAGGTTGCAGCGCCAGGTGACCCCAGGGGACTCGGGTCCCACCCGATTTTTCCCTTTCATTGACAAGCATTCCTACATGCCAGACCTACTAGGGAAAGCCCTTGAATTTCAATCAAATTCAAGAAGAAGAAGAAGGAAACTTTGTCTTTTCCTTGCTTATTCAAAAGTAACCTTTGGTAGAAAATGTATCCAACATCTTTGGAAGGGGTCTTCTACCTCTGTGGCTTCTAATTGGTGAAGAAAATCAATTATTCGGGCTCTAAATCTCATTGACATTATTTATGTCTGCGACCAAAGTAACACAGATGTCTTAGACGTCTCACTGGAATTAGACGGTGTTCCTAGAATTATCGCAAAACTCCAGAGTGAGGCCTTGTTGAAGGGAGCACAACCTAATGAACAGTCCACAGAACATGTGAGAGGCTTGCTACCTCCGTGAGTCTCAAGAGAAACAGTTCAGGATGCGGTTGTAAGCGTCTCCCCAAGGGCACCCATGTAATCAGGTCAGCCAGCCTCAGGGCTGTTATCAGTGAAGGTCGCCTGTCCTTTCTCCAACTGAACGCCACCAGCAGCCCACTCCATCTGCCTTATCTACCCCTAGATGAACAGATACAATACCCCACCCTTTAGTTCTCTGAGTTCTCGGGAGATACTTAATCCTCTTGAGGCAGGGATCTTAACTTACGCTACAGAAAATAATTTCAGAACAAGACAGTATGAGGAAAACTTGATGTTTATTAAGACAAAAAAAAAAATTGGAGGTGGCTTAGTGCCTTTGTCTCAGGAAGTTTTGTGCTTGGGTGTTAAAGTTAACTGTGGAGCTAGGCCTGGTGTACAGCACTGTAATCCCAGATACAGAGGGACTGAGAAAGGATCCAAGTTCAAAGCCAGCCTGGGCTGTTATTTCACAGACAGCCTGGCAAACTTCATGAGACCCAGTCTCAAAATGAAAAGCACACGGAGAACACTGGGGATGAGTCTCGGAGGGAAAGCACCTTTCTAGCATGTGGTAGAGCCCAGGCTCACAGGCCAGCCCTGCAGGTGTGTGTGTGTGTGTGTGTGTGTGTGTGTGTGTGTGTGTGTGTGTGTATGCATACTCACGTGCTCACACTTGCGAGTATATGTGTCTGCATATTTGCATGTGTATTTGGTGGGTTTTGAACACTACTCAACCATGTTCAAAGTTTAATAAAGCAGTTCAAAAATTAATTCAAATGTCATGAGGTGTTACTTGTTTCTCTTCAGGAGTCTGCTTTCGTGAATGGACTCGCAGGGTCGCAGATGAGATGTACTGCTCAGGTTCGGGGGTGAGAGGGAAGTGCTGGCTGCCGTGCTCCAAGCTCGCATATGTTTTGTCCTTAAGCACAGTTTGTGTTGGTTTGTTACTGTTGTTTGGAGGTGTTTCTATGAAAACTTGACTCTCAGTGGGAAACACAAGCTAGACCTCGGTGTCGAGGCTGAGGTGAAGATTCACGAGCCATGTCTCCTGATTGTCCTGTCTTTCTATCCTTTATCACCAGAGAACAGGTTCTCAACCCAAAGAAATCCCATTAGGTCTGTTTTGTAAAGGTCCCTAAATGCTTGTGTGAAAGAAAAAGAAAAAATGTGCTGATTATTCTCTGGCCCATGAATCATCAGAAATTCCAAAAAATTAACTATGATGGTATTGTAATATTTATCTAGACTTTATGTGTTTTGCATAAACATCAATAACCATGACTGATAAGGACTGAGTGTGTAAGGTTGGAACTCTCTTGCAGGAACCTCAGAGTTTCAAAGGCAGTTATCAAAGGGGGCAGTATGAGGGAGAGTCAACATCTAAAATATTTCTAGATCAAAACATGAAGGAGAAGACATCACATTTCTGGTGACAAGATGACAAGTTTTATTCTCTGTCCATCTGTCTGTCTGCCTCTGTCTCTGTGCCTCTATTTTTTTCCCCTTTCACAAAAGTGTCTTAGTAAAGTGCCTAAATTTATATATTTTATTCTAGTGTGTTTCATTTGAAAAACAAAATTTCCAGTTGAGAGTCGTGAGAGTGATTTCCATCTTTCCAGCACAGTCTGATCTTCCGCTAGGAAAACAGATGTGTTTACTGGTGTGTCTCTCTGAGCACCCTGTGTATTTGACATCCGTTTGGTTCCTCTGACCCTTGATTACGGACCTTCTTGGCCGTTAACCATCAGTGGTAGGAGGCAGGCATCAGGGTGACCTTGACAGACTGACAGGACATGGACGTGGTGAACTTGGAGAACTCTTAGGTTCTATACTTAAAAAATCCAGCAAAAGCACTTGGATTGCTATTTTACCCCAGGCAGCTGAAAATCACCACTTAAAAAATAAAAATCTTATGTGCAGAAATATGTCCAGCTTTGGTTTTTGTTTCACAGTATAGTACTAGGTGGCCCGGGCTGCCCTTCAAGTCCCCATCTTTTTGCTCCAGCCTCCTAAGTCAGTCACGGGGTTTCTGCTCACCTCCCCATACCTGCCTTCATTTTGTCCTCCTCCTCTTTCTTCCTCTTTTCTTTCTTTTTGAACTCTACTTCCGGGGACTGAACACAGCATCTTGCGTGTGACACACATACACTAGAGGTACAACCTTAGCCTACCTGTTCCAGCTGGTTGATCTAAGTTTTTTCCCCTCAAGAAGAAAAAAAGTGAAGATTTGTAAATGAAGATTTGTGATTTGCATGCTCTCCATTCCCCAAAAACCGGGACTCTGAGCAACTAAAAACACAAAACTAATTACACAGGTATTGAGACATTCGTAAATGTTATACTTCCACAAATCATGATTTCTAACCATATTTAGTTCGCATGCTTACAACACGACGTGTTTTTGCTTTACATTACATATTTATTATATGTACATCACATGTTTTCACATGTCACAAACACTTAAAAGCTTTCTTTTGCTAGGAATATTTTAATTTTGCTAAGAGGATTTCAGTTTCCTGCTCCTGTGCGTCTTATCACAAATTTCTACAGTGAACATTTTTAACAGAACTGTTTAGCCAGATGCTTCCTGGCCTTTCGAAGAAAACATCCATTAATCTGCTGGTATCGCCCGTTTCCATTGCCTCGCTTGTCAGGGGAAAAAGGACACCAGGTGCTGATGAGGCTCAGAGTAGATGTCAGGTCTCCGCCTGTAGAGAGAAAGAGAGGAAGGTTGACTCACTGGAGCTACTCTGCAGATGCCCTGTTGTTCTACCTGAAGTGAGAGGGCAACTGCGATGAACACACTTTAGTTTTTCCTGGAGACAAGCGGAGTCTTGAGCAGCCTATACATACCATTCCATAGTTTAGTAATCACAGCCACGGTCCGCCACAACCACAGCTGCCCTCCTGCTGATTGCAGAAGATGAAATTCAAGCAACAAAGACACTGATTTCCCCAGGTGCCATTGGAGGCTGGGCCTGTGCGGTAAACTTAGCCCCTGTGATCCTGGAGGCTGGTTTCAGTGGAGGATTAATGGGATCTCTCTAGTTATTGTTCCGAGAGTTCCCTCTGATGGACGCTATAAGGGGTAGGACTCTTTAGGAGAGTGAGGGTTGCTCTGAAGGGAAGGAGCCCGTGGAGCTTGGCGCGCAGGACTGCAAGGATCCTTGTGTGAGGACTGTTTGAAAAAGTATCAGTTGCTATTTCCACATGAGGCAGGCACTGACTTTCCAGAAACCTCTGTTCTCTCAAATGCTCATCCCTTGGGGAGCTGGTGGAGAGGTCACCTTCCTTTACAGTAAAGGAAAGTGATGGAAAAGTGCTCCCCACCCAATGTATTTTCCCCTTCTTCTTGATAAGTAAACAAGGTAAATCTTAAATTATGCTTTCTACATGTCCAAATCCAGCGCAGGGAATACATACGGCGTTTGCATAATAAGCAATTCCCTCTAATAGCTGTGGGCTGACACATTAGTCTGGCAGGGAACGTGCTGAAGTCAAACTCGTCAAAGGACTTGTAATTTTCACTCTCCCTTGACCCATGTCACACCCACGCTGTCCCTTTATTATCGGAAGAACTTCTGTGATATGTTTTGCAGGCACTTACAAAAAGATCTCAAAGCTGGACTTGGGACGTTTCTGACAAGCACTGTCAGGAGGAGCCTGATGACAGGAGAAGGGAATGGAGGCAGAAGAACCCTCTCTCCACAGCCAGTGGGAGGTATGACTTCTGAAGGCCCAGGGGCTCACTATGTTTCCTCCTGCATATCTACTTTAATACTAGTGTGCACAATCTTTTGTAAACACAGTTGAAAAGGCATTAAACTCAGCAGCTGGAGAACAGGCTCAATGGCTAAGAGTGCTTGCTTTGCCATAATGAGGGCAAGAATTCTCAGCACCTACATAACAAACCAGGCATTTCCACAAATGCCTCTAACACTAGCTCTAAGTAGAGGCAGAGACAGAAAGATGGCTAGAACTTATTGGCTTCCAGCCTGGCCAAGAAGACCCAAGACCCAGGTTCAGCAGGGAGAGACCCTGCCTCAAAGGAATAAGCAGAGAATGCTAGGACACTCAATCCTTTCTTCCCTCAGCACGAATGCACAGGCATGCATTGCTGTGCGCACACATGTGCATACACACACGTGACAGACACACACACACATACAGAGAGAGAGAAATTAGCAACAACAAAGGTACCAAACTTAAGGACTGTGCTGGAAAGAGGCACAGCTCTCCCTTCCAGTGTTCACACGCACACTAGTACACATTTCTTTAAATCACAACCACCAAGGCAGCAGGGAAGAAAAGACAGGCGCTCAGAACAGTACAAAAATAGAATTAATCAGTCTACACTTGTCTTCTTTACTGGTTTAATCCTTCAAGCATTCCTCCAGCTAACACTGCATTGTCTGAGGCTTAATCGAGGGAAACACAGTGAAACGCTGTTTCAGAAACACAGTTCTAAAATAGTGGCACATAGGAAAAATATGCTACATTTAACTACTAAGTATAGCAAACCTGTGGGTCAGTGTTCCTAATTTTTATATTCCTGGCGGTGCATAACCCTCCTTCCTCTGCTCTACCCTTCTTTTCCCCCAGAATTTAGGCTTTTCTCACATTCTGTACAATTAGAATCAGACTAACCATTGTTTGCATTTGTTCTTCCCAGCTGAGGTAGAAGGCCGTGAGGGCGGGCACTTTTGCCCTTCAGCCACAAGACAGTCTCTGGTGATGTCTCCTCAGCAGTGACCCAACAGGGCAGGCAAGAAGGTTAGAAGCCTCCTTTCTTAAATCACTGTTAAGACTGCCAACACCTGACCCATACCAGCTGTAGTTACTAAGAAGACATTTTTTAAAATAAGAACAGAAAGGCAAATGTAGGAGACAGATCTTAAAGAAAGCATTGGAGGAACCAGGCTTGTTAAACACACAACACTATTTTCTTTGAAGAAAAATGACTCTAACCCAGAAAGCTGGAGTGGATGTTGTCTGACAACGTGGCGATCTTTTTGCTATTCAGTGGAGCCAGCCTTCTCGAATCCCCCAATACCCTGGGCATTGTTTAGGCCCTAATCCTGAGCCCTATGTCTCAGTAAATCAAACCCATCCTTTCAATAGAGGTCCTGTGTACTTTGCACACTCTGTCAACAGAATCCACCCTTACGCTTATTACAAATCCTACTTAGGACCTTGCCCTGAGCAGTATCAGTCCATAGAACCTATTTTTACTGTAGTAGTCACAGGAGCTTTGCTGCTTTGCTAGAGTTCCTTTGTAGCTGTGCCTAAGGTTTTGTTGTAATAACTGTCACACAAAAACCTTTGCCCAGAGTTTCACTGTGTTTAAACGTGTAAGAAAAATAAACTCCAAGGTCAGACCCTGGAAGGTCTGGATACAGCACCTGGTAAGGTGGTGCTGACTCAAGCTCACTGTTCACGTCACACGGATCGTCTCTCTGCTGGCCATGATGCTTGCAGGCTCCCCAATAGGTGAAAGAGAGACAGAAAAGGAAGACCAAGAGCTAGACATGTCCTTGCTCTCCCTCCATGGAACCTAGTTTATTTCCCACAGGCGTGGCTGACCGGGCTGCATAACCTTGCTTCCCTGGCTGTAGCTGGGGCCAAATGAAGGCCAAACAGGGGTGGGCAGAGTGCTGTGCATATTACTTGCATGTCTGGAGACTAGAAGAGGGCATTGAACCCTCTGGAACTGGGATTACACTGGGTTGTGAGACGACGTGTGGGTGCTGGAGTTTGAATCCAGGTCCTCAAGAAGAGCCGGCACTTGACCATCAGGCCAACCCTCAGTCCTTCTGCTTCCTGGCTTCCACTCAGAGCTAAGAGGTTTTAAGAATTACTCCCCTCTTCCTAATTCATGCTGGACAACGCACTAAACACTCAGCAAGATGATATATATATATATATGTATATTTATGTATATATATGGATCTAAGTAACTTAGTGAGTTTATCTCCTCTTGAGGAGAAGGTGGGAAGCTGCAATGTACTTGCCTCCATTGACTCAGCCACCCAGGGTGCACTGGGCCAAGGTTCAGATAAAGGAATTGCTAATGCCATGAATGTGAGATTACTGGGAGTGTCTAAAAGAAGTGCTGAATCTTAACACCTTGGGAATAATTGTTTTAAATCTCTGTAAGAATGTTCCTAAAGAGATTATGCGGGGGGGGGGGGGGGGGGGGGGGGGTTTTTTTGTGAAATGCATTTTTCTTTCAACCTGATATTTTTAATCTAAACTCTATAAATTTATAAAATCCCATCATCGCGGTAGACAAACTATTCCCAAGATTTTGATATATGCTGTTTCAAGTCCTTTTAATAGAAGAATGAAACTGTTTAAACTCAGTCAGACAACAGCAGACAGGATGTGTATGGATTAAAGACCTTTAACCTTGTCAGTGCTGGGAGTAAAGGTGCTTGCTACCAAGCCGAAAACCCAGAGTTCGGTCCCCGGGAACCACAGGGTACAAACAAGGTGGAAACGGAATCTCTCAAGCTGCCCTGACCTGTCCTTGTGCACAGCGTGTCACAGTGGGCTTCCCTGCCCACCGCAAGCAAACAAAACAGATAAAACGTGATTTTTAAAGGAAAAAAACATATTTTTGGCCTTTTCCCGACAACTTTCATTTTAACCTAGCCTAAACTGAAGTTCTGAGTTCATATTAAAACAAGCAAGATGGAAAAAAAAAATCTTTGGGATCTCCTCCAATGCCACTTCCTGACAACCTTCCCCACACTCCGAAGGAGCTGCTTTGCAATGCTACACCAGTTAGCTGCCTTATTTCTAAAGGGCTGTGCTAGAACCTCTGTCCTCAAGGTGCAGTTACCGAGGCAGAAACTGTGACTTGCCTTAAATTCTCCCTGTGAGCATGAGCGCCCAGCAGGTTAAACTTCAACCCCAGAGGCCTCACTTTTTCAGTACAAAACAATGGGCTGCGGCAATTTTACTGCCGTGAAACACTTCCCGGTGCGCTGTTCTTCTCTTGTTGTTCCATTCAGTCCTCCTCCCACCTCTCTGAGGGGATAGTCACCGAACTCTGCAGGGTCAGTGTGGCGGCATTTGTCGATACTTCAAGGACATTCGGTTAATTATTAGCACACATTCCTTGTGCATGCTCCTCTGCCGCCTCCAGCATTTTTACAGGAGTCCTGAAAATTAAACTTTGGTCTTCATATCACACAGCAAGCACTTTACTGACTCAATTATCTCCTCAATATTCTTTTCCAAACAACTTTTAAAGACTCGGTTACAAGTAGACAGTCCCTGGGAACTCAAATACAACTGATTATTTTAGCATCCTAACCTTCCTTTGCAATGTGAAGGAAAATGAAAAAACAAAAAACAAACAAACAAACAAAAAAAAACCCTCAAAAAATGGGGTTTTGGTGTAAAACTTATCCTGCCAAATCTGTCATTATGAACTTAGAACTTGAATTTAAGATTGGTAAAGAACTGATAATTTTGTTAAGATATGAATGTAAATCCCAGCCACATAAAAATAAACCAGACAGTCTCGCCTCTGTTTCCGGTATTATGTGCCCAACTGAATTAATGTGTTACTTCCTGTAAACAGTGAGTAAACATAATCATTATCTTGTGTGTTTATTTGTTTTCCTCAGTAGCTAGGGCACTTGGTAGCAATTAAAGAAACAAATTAACTAAAGCAAGCAATTGTGCTTCCTTAGAGATCCACTAAGAAGCCCTAATCTCAAAGCTGCCTGGCCCTCTAGGCCCAAAGGCCTATCTTTTACTCCTACAAATCTAGAGTAACATAATTTAAAGAAACGGTGTTTTCTAATTTATTACACAACACTCACTCTAACCTCAGCAACAACAGGAAACTTGCACAGAGCAAACATTTCAATGTCTTATATTTTGTAACCTCAAAGTTAGAAATAATATCATATCCAAAGATGAGGCACTGACTCGTTCTGTTTAATAGTCATTCAAGTTCTTAAAGTAATTGTCTCCCCATGAATTTAGTTTTTAAGCTGACATGTTGAGTCCTTACCGCTTGTTATTTAAAATGTTATTCTATTTTCAAAATTGCTGTATGATTTTATTTAGTTCAATGCATAAGTTTAAATGTTTATATTAAAAAAATAATTTTATTCAACTAAATAAATCTGGTGGGGAAAGTTGGTAAATTTAAGGTAATCTTTTTTTCTTATACAATAAGCCCTAGATGTCTGTAAACTAGATTATTATGCTAACACTTTTACATAATAATAAAAGATACATCTTAACACATTGGAGCCAAAAGTCAAACTACTAAGTAAACAAAAATATGCAAATGTAATTATGAGTAGCACTTAAAGGCCACACCTTAATCTAAAAGCACAAGAATGTGGAATAATATACCATTGTTTTCCATTTGAAGTTGATATACTTTTTAAACCCTGTATACAAGCCAACTTGTACTTAAATCACATTATAATTTACTAATTTCCTGCTGAAATAAACAATGTGCTTAAAGTTACTTATGTTCATAAAATAGGAAATATTCACAGCAGTTGTGCAAGTTTAGAGGAGTTAACTAGGAAAACAGAAATACTGGAGGTCAGTGAACACAGATTTAAGTATCTATTGAAGTATTCTGACTAAAGAGACAAAGGTATTGATTTTAAGTCAGAGGTCCTATGGAGGACCACTGTTCAAAACAAGAGTGACCCTATGGTCCTCTTTCAGATGTGGTACACATTCTACTCCCATGCCATATCCCTTATAATACAGTAATTATGGGTAAAGTAATACTGTTTTACATACAGAAGCAATCTTTCTGTCTCAGCAACCAAGTTTATACTCCCCTCTGGAACCCTGCAATAAAAAGACCACAGCCAATAATCCTGCCTGCACATGACAGCCAGGCATGGAATTACCAAGTCATGAATTTCAGAGATTTTGAGCAAGATACCGTTTCACTGATTTCTTCTTGTCTAGAGCTATCTTGTTTGGGTCTATGCTTCATTAAAATCAAGTTCCTGGAGGCAGCTCTTTTACAGTAACACTCTCTCTCATACAGACACGCTACTTCTGAGCAAAGCGACAACCATCTGAACTCATACAAACACTACACACCACACATACAAACACACAGGGATTTGGAAGGACAAGGGACACTAACAAACAGCACGAATCTCGCCAAAGGAAAGAACGAAAATCACGGACTCGGATCTGTTGTTAAATGCGGAGTATCAAACTCCTCTCCAACCACAGAAACCCCTTATACCCTTTTTGAGCCCTTTGTGGTCCTTCGGCACCAGACGAGAACCAGAAAAAAAGCAGGCAAGTTGTGCAGCACGAAGGGAGGAGACATGAGGCGCCAGAAGGCTGGGAGGTTCCCCACGCAGCTGGTTTACGCTGGAGACCTAAACAGTATCTAGGCACAGTTTCTAGAAATAAACGATATAGGAGAGGATGAGCGTGGTGTGGGCTTCTATTGGGAAAGGGAGCGAGACACAGCGCTGTTTCTTCCAACAGGCAAGGCGGAGCTTAGAAAAGAAACGGGTTCTGAGGAAATGCGCCCAGTTTGAGCACAGCCAGTATTTATGGCCAAAACCCTTCACTGGGCAGTCAGGGCGACCAGAAATGATATTAACCCTTCATTCGGATAAGCAGATGAATAAAAAAAAAAACTCCGCTAAGAACCCTGAAATCCTTTTCCTGTTATTCTGAATTGTTGAGTCAACATCCACAGCAAATGGCGTTGGTTTCGGCATTTCTGGCGCAAGTCGTAAGCTTCCTTCCAGTTCACCCTCTCCCCACCGGCTGCTTCGTTTTCCTGAGACTATGGAAATGGACATAGCTTGGCCGAAGCACTCTATCGAAAAACATAACGACCAAAAATGCTACATCTGCATTTGAACAACTTAGTGTTTCATTTCTCACCGGAACCCCAGAGCAGCGACGAGTGTCAGAGGCGGGTTCAACAAAGCCGAACTGCATTTGATATTCTAAGGTTTCCAAAACTGATCTAAAGCTCCGTTTACCTCTTCCAAAATGAAAGCAAACTTGGAGGCCCTTCTTCCCAAAATGAACCTGAAGACAAACCTCCAGTGGTCAATGAGCACCCACAGGTTCCCTTTTATCTTTTTTCCACTATCAACCCCGTCCTACAACTTCCTTACGGCGGACTTTAACGGAGGCTGGCTGCCGGAAGTGACGTTTACAAGATGTGTAAGTGGAATGCCGCCCAAAGGTCATTTTTCAGAACACCCAAGAGAAAGCAATTGTAGCTAAAAGGTAACAAACACTGGCAACAAAATAAAACTAGCCTCCTTTTACCTTAACCGCTTAAAAGGACAGGCAGGCACTCCTTTGCTTTCAGAAAGCTAAAACTGAAAGTGGCGTTCGACACAGCTCCTTTCTTGAGAAAGTGGGTGGCTCTGAAAAGAGCCTTTGGAATCTGTAATGCAGGCTTACTTGGCACGATCACTTGGAGCTGGTGTACTTGGTGACGGCCTTGGTGCCCTCGGACACGGCGTGCTTGGCCAGCTCCCCGGGCAGCAGCAGGCGCACGGCCGTCTGGATCTCCCGCGACGTGATGGTCGAGCGCTTGTTGTAGTGCGCCAGGCGCGACGCCTCGCCCGCGATGCGCTCGAAGATGTCGTTGACGAACGAGTTCATGATGCCCATGGCCTTGGACGAGATGCCCGTGTCGGGGTGCACCTGCTTCAGCACCTTGTACACGTACACCGAGTAGCTCTCCTTGCGGCTGCGCTTGCGCTTCTTGCCGTCCTTCTTCTGCGCCTTGGTCACCGCCTTCTTGGAGCCCTTCTTCGGGGCGGGAGCGGACTTCGCGGGCTCAGGCATCCTCCAGTCTCTTAACGCCGGAAACTCAATGTGGGCTGGAAGCGGACTTCTCCTACTTATAGGGCGTTTATGCTAATGAGGGATTTCAAATGAGTGCTGCCTAATTGGAAGAAGAAAACCAGTGTCCTCATGGGTGGAGTTATGCAAATGAAGTTTCGAGATACGCATTTTCTATTGGCTACTTCACTGTGCTCGCTTGCAACCAATCAAATAGTTGCGTTTACTACCCGTCAAGCTACTATAAAAGCACCTATGTTTCCCTACTCTTCCTACTTTGCTGTAATTGCTTTGTAGTCGTAGTGTTTTAACTATCATGTCCGGACGCGGCAAGCAGGGCGGCAAGGCCCGCGCCAAGGCCAAGACCCGCTCGTCCCGCGCCGGGCTGCAGTTCCCCGTGGGCCGCGTGCACCGGCTCCTCCGCAAGGGCAACTACGCGGAGCGGGTGGGCGCCGGCGCCCCGGTGTACCTGGCGGCCGTGCTGGAGTACCTGACGGCCGAGATCCTGGAGCTGGCCGGCAACGCGGCCCGCGACAACAAGAAGACGCGCATCATCCCGCGCCACCTGCAGCTGGCCATCCGCAACGACGAGGAGCTCAACAAGCTGCTGGGCCGCGTCACCATCGCGCAGGGCGGCGTCCTGCCCAACATCCAGGCCGTGCTGCTGCCCAAGAAGACCGAGAGCCACCACAAGGCCAAGGGAAAATAATTTGACATCGGAAGTTTTGAAATTTTAAAATCCAAAGGCTCTTTTCAGAGCCCCCACTGTTTCAAGAAAAGGGTTGAACAGAATACACTGAAATGATCTTGGCGGTTTTCAGATAACAGTTGGTTTTGCATCTAACAGTCTTAATGGCTGCACTAACCAGAATTTGAGTCTGGCCAGACTAAGAATGGTGACAGCTGCCAGTGTAAACTGTCCTATCTTAACGCAGTTAGCCTACAGCCCAAGGCATTCAATGAGTGACGATAATACTCTGAATTTCAGTGTTTACCAGTTTGTGAACAGAAAGTGAAAGTTGGGCCCTCTGGACTCTCCAAATGGTCATCTGGTAACCTTAAAACTCCCAACTCCATATTTCTGGGCGCTTGGTCTCAGGAATGACTTGGAATTTGGGAAATGAGGCCCAGGGAAGGCCAGTGTCACTAGACAGCCCACGTAATAACAAGCTCGTGGCACTCCACTGAGCTGAGACCGTTTCTTCCCTAGAATTCGAATCCACATCCGAAATAGAATAGAAGTGTTCTGGGGTTGGGTTTTGTTTTTTAGAGATGGTTTCTCTGTGTCGTCCCGGCTGTCCTGGAACTACATCTTGGAGATCTGCCTGCCTCTGCCTCCAACTCTGGATTGAAGTCAACGAACAGCCATGTCCTGATGAGTGGGTTTTTGTTTTTGTTTTTTTTTTTTTTGGGGGGGGGGGGAGGAGGCATTTGGGAGGAGCGATTTTGTTGCTGTTTTTGGTTTGGTTTGGTTTGGGTTTGGGTTATTCAAGACAGGGCTTCTCTGTGTAGCCTTGGCTGTCCTGGACCCTCTTTGTAAAGCAGGCTAGCCTCGAACTCACAGATACCCACCTGCCTCTGCCTTTTCAAGTGATTGGATTGCAGGCGTGATCCATCACCCGCAACTACTGTTGTGTTTTTTTAATTCAAGCGGAAGCTTGTTCTTGCTATCTAATGTCAGGATCCTGGCAGCCTCTGCCTCCTTCCCCAGCAACCATTCTAAAAGGATTGGGTGCCGGAAACTTCGTGAAGATTGGCGGAGGGAAAACCGTCACCTTGACTGCTACACGAAAGAAGTCTTTGTCTGGGATACTACCATCCCAAACGTACCTGATTTTTAAAAAGCTAATCAGGATCAGCACTGGGTAGTACTCAGTTTGGAGACCACCTGGGAATTATAGGCTTAAAAACTTTAAAATTAAAAAGAATTTTCTGAGGTGTTTGGTTTTTTTTGGAGAAACATATCTGAATACCTGCCACAGAACCAAGGCTGAAATGTTAGAAATACAGACACGCACCCTGAAGAAGAAAGGCCTTGACCTTGGAGCCTCAACCTCCTCAGGGCTGGAACTATAGTTGTGAGTTGTGCAGCACAGGCAAGCTGGACTTGGGGCGTCTGGTCTCGCTGTGCAAAGCTACCATTGTGAGGTCAGGAGTCCAGCTCAGCTTTCCTTCGAGTCTGAGAACCTGGGTCCTTGGATCTCTTGCTTCAAATGAGCGTCGTGATCATTTTCATTCTCTTGCCAAGTTCCCTTTGACCCCAAATTTCCCAAGGTGTGAGACATTTAGGTATGTATTTACGACCCTCTCTCATCTTAATATCTTTCTGAATCTTTGCTCACTTTGCTTGAAAAGACCCCAAATCTGTAGTGTATACCCTGAAATTGCAACAGCACGGGCTCGTCAAATCAGGTGGCTGGTTAAGCACCACT